TCCTCTCAGGTAGTTGTAGAGAGCGATAAGGTCTCCCCTCAGCCTCCTCTTCTCCAGGCTAAACAATCCCAGTTCCCACATTCCAATTAGCAGCATGTAAAATGTAGCAAAGTTAATAATTAATCCTGTTTCCATGGAAAGAATCTGGTTTTAAGCTTGTTGGCTCTCATTATAGGACCTTAGACCTGTTTGTGAGAAACTGGCTTGCCGTTAGGAAGGAGGCGCTTTGGAAGAGGAGTGGCTGCCTGAGTTTGCAAGGAGAGGTGGGCATTTTCCCAAAGAAGCCACGAGGGGAATTGCCCATTAGCACAATGCACCACAGACTCCCAGGGGAGAGACCTATCCTCCAACAAAAGCAAAGAGCACACTCTCATTTGAAAATATAAAAATCTGTTAAATGGCCTCTACCTTATTCATGTAAGCAGTTTCTCTAGGGGGAGCTGAGAAACTCTCTAGGTTTTGCTGTGACTGTTGTCATAATCTGTTTATAATGGGAGCTTAAGTCTCCATATGTAGACACTTAAAACAAGATTTCTCAAACTGTGAGCTCAATTCCACCTTTAATTCTATTTTCTATTATGGCTGAAAAAACCTCAGTTTTGGTTCTTCTCTATAGCATGCATTTTGAAGATGTGGTTCTTGTACCACCCCAGTCCTTCTTCTCCTGTTGCAGCATTCAGTCCAGCTCTCTGCTGGGTACTGCTTTTGTTCCCGGTAATAAATAAATGTTAGCAGACCTCACTTTGGCAGTACTAAGAGCTGTGGCATGGGGTATGAAACTTCAGAATATGCGTGATCTGTGATATTGTTGTTGAGAAGTGGAGAATGTGCTCGGGAAAAAAATGCTGACCTGCTTTACTCTGAATAATTGACCATAAGAATCCATGAAATTGAGCAGAAAGATGAAAAGAAAAGGCTATCAGGAGAAAAATTCTTCTCACCTGTGACAATTTTAAACATTCAAATTTCAAAATGTTGACTATATTCATATAATCAAGCATATCCAAATTGTAGAGCAATAGAAATATCTTGTTTTCTTCCAGTGCAGTGTTTCTCATACCAAAATGCAAGCATATGAGTTGCAAAAAAATACAATAACTTTAAGAATTGTCAGTCCTCCCTACACAAACTATTTCTTCTCAAAAAAAAGAGTTTAGTTTTCATGCTTTTGCTCTTGAAACAAAACCTACCTATCATTTTTAGTTCTAACAATGCCAGTACAGTTATGACTGGTTAGTGGAGAAAAAAAGGTCTGAAACCACTGAAGAAACTGAAGTACAGTATGATTCAGAACACACCATGCTGTTTCCCTTTTAAGCCCTCACTCCATATTATGAAGTGCATTTTGTTGAATTTTCATTCATTCCAAAGGAGGCGAAGTGTCAAGGATTTCCAATTATTTCTCCTTAGCATTTGGAACTGTTTCATAACATGCAATTAGTATTTCTAGTAAGATATGGAGAAACACTAAGGGGAAAGGAGCGACAGGCCAGGTGTCAGCTCCCACCATACCTTGTGGTATAGTCAGTGAAGTCTCTCACAAGCTACTTACTCTGCTTGATGCAACAGCTGTGGCTTGAATAAACCAAGTGGTGACAGAAACTTGCTACACTATTTTTTGTGTATGTTCTATCACTTCAGTCACTTCATTTTCTTTGGCTTAGCATTACAGCTAAGCCACACTCTGGCTTGGATTTTCTATCAAACTCTTCCAATGTTTTTAGTCTGTTGGTGTGATTCTGCATGGGTACTGCAAATCTTGCTTTGCCCAGTTCCAGAGATGTTTTGAAATGATGAGTCTAGGAGCTGGGGGAATAGCTGCACTGTAAACAGTAATAGGGAAAGCTCTGTTTATGTTGAGAGAGAGTAAGAGGAAATGTAAGAAAGTTTTTTTCTTTTTTTTTTTTTTTTGAGAAGCTGTCTTTGAGAAGACACAAGAATTTTTAAAGAGGAATCTTGGGTGAAAGGAGTAGAAATAAGAGCATAGGATTATTTGCAGAACTGATAATAGTTCCAAAACTGCTGATTCAAAGAGGTGGTACAGTAAAAAGAAGCATGTTGCTTCTTGTGTAGAGGTGAATGTATTTTTTGCAAGGAGAAACAGCATGGAATTCTTATGAAGAAAAAATAGAGAGAGAGGAGAATCGGTATTCAAGTATTGGGAAAGCCTGTGATATTTTCCTAAGGGAGCTGGCGGGACACATCATAGGCAGGTGTACTCTTCACTGAGTAAAAAAATGGCTGGATGGCCAAGCCCAGAGAGTTGTGGTGAA